GACTCCGATTGCTAGCTAATTACTGAATATTAATGCTGTTTTGTGTATCTAGAGTAAACGATGCTGTTTGGAAAAATTTCCTGGCAGTTATGTGGCTTAAAGAAACTCCCACGGTCATGTGACACCAGATACTTCTGGGGCTGGTTGAATGCAGTGTTTAATAAGTAAGTTACTCTCATTAAAGTGAAGAAACATGGGGATTGTTAGAGTTAGATGAGTTCCCATTAGCTATGTGATTATTTCTTGTGTTTCAAGTTGGTTTTTTGTACAGTGTATACAGTATGGTCCTCCTTTTGTTTAATAACAAAACACATACAAACATTGAATAAGGATGAAAAATAGAATACAAAATGTTAACATGCCTGGGTTGCAGGATTTCAGTGATTTTTTATCTTACTTGGACTATCCCTGCCTTTCAAGTTTTCTAAAATGAATATTTATTACTTTTATGATTAGAAAAGCTCAGTAAATGTAATTTTAGAATATTTTATTCTATGGCTTCTTAAAGGATCTAGTTAGCCTTTTGAATAGTATCAAGTGAACTCCAGTTTTTAAAAAGGTAATGAGTGGCATGCTTAGAAACATCATTTAGAAACTGGTGAGGCTGACCTCCTTGTTGCATTAACACCACTAACTAGAGAAAAAGTCATATATAGAAATTAATAAACATCACTTAAGATTAATTTGAACATAAGTTCAAAATTATTCCCTCTTCTACCATTAATAAAAACAATAACCAAGTGCATCATTCAATACATAGTTACTGAGTACCTCCTGGTGTCAAGCACTGTGCTGCATATAAATCAATGAAGACTCATGCCTGCCTGATAACTCACATAAAAATAACAAGCCTTGGCAGAGTTCACTTGGAAACAAAAATAAAAGCAGGAAAGGGAGCAGGTAGAGCCATTGTATGGGGGTTTTATTGTTTGTTTGTTTGTTTGCATGGGTCTCACTAATATACTTGTCTCTCTCCTTAGTCATTTGAAATGGAAAGTTATTGCTATTCTATGTTTCTGTTGGTGAATGTAGTTAAGAAGGTAATGATTATAGTAAAACCTAACTGCGTTTGTTCTCTTTCCAACAGAGTAGACTATGAACGCATCAGGGAGGCTGGCCCTGAAAGGGCGGCCTCCGAGTGGCTGCTTCGCTGTGGGGCCATGGTGCGCTACCATGGCCAGGAGAGGTGGCAGAAGGACTACAACAACCTCCCAACGGGCCCTCTGGACAAATACAAGATCCAGGCCATTGATGCCACTGACTCTTGTATCATGAATATTGGATTTGATTACATGGGTAACTACCCTATCATTTGCTTATGAGAAATGCAGGTGATTTTACAGTGACCTTTTGTTTCTTAATATTATAGATGTGTCCTTTTTGCCTTTTCAATATAATCCAGTTTGTTTCTTCCTATGTATAGTATTTATTTTTGAACTAAATAGAGGTTACAAACACCTTCCTCTCCTTTCTCCCCTTACTAAGCTTGTCTCTACATAACTTTATTCTGTAGTTTATTGACTTAAAATTCAAACTTTTGTCATTGAAAAAGCCTCAATATGTAGATATGTTTATGTGAACTAAAATTATATTCACATAGCTTCTGGCTGGGCAGACATTTCTTCCCTCAGTGCATGGTTGTCTGACAGCAGTATGGTCCTATCAGCAGTATAGTGAATACCCTCTATAGTTAATAAGGTGACCAATCATTCCAGTTTTCCTGGGACTAAGAGGTTTCCCAGGACATAGGACTTTCAATTCTAAAATCAGAACAGTCCTGGGAAACCTGGGATAGTAGGTTATTTTAATGGCAAAGCAGAATCTTAAACTGCACTTTTTCCCCCTAGAGGGCCTAAAGCATGTTGAAAAAATAAGGCTTTGCAAGTGCCATTACATCGAGGATGGCTGTTTGGAGAGAATTGGTCAATTTGAAAATTTACAAAAAAGTTTGTTGGAAATGGAAATAATTTCATGTGGGAATGTCACAGACAAAGGCATCATTGCTTTGCGTCACTTAAGGTAGGTGATCAGTGCCAAAATGGAAACTTGATAGTGATGCTAAGGTGAAAAATCAGAATTTAAAACAGTTGAGGGGTAGTATCTTGTTTTAGTTCTGAAATGAGAAAATGACTTAACTTTCATCTGTAATACTTTAAAACAGTTGAAATCATCAACCTTAATGCATTATGGTTTTATTGCATATTTAGGGAGCATCTTTTTTTAAAAAATTAAGTCTGTGTAAAGCACCTAGCATCGTGCCTACTGCAGTAAGCTCTCAATAAGCATTAGCTATTATCCTTCCTCTCCATCTTTTAAAGCAATTTTCCCCAAGTTCTGCCAATAATCTATCACAGGAAGTATGAGAAATTTTAAACATTAGAACCATAAGTACTAGATTGTTTGTTTCTTACATTGGTTGAGGCTTCAAGGCTTCCTTTTGAATTCCTTTAACAACTTTTCTAATTTGTTTCCCTTTCTAGGTTAAGGTTCATATTTTATATCTCACATGTGAAGGTGTTTTATGCCGTAAAATACATATAGTATTTGGAAAGATTCAGCTAGAATTATTGGTTTAATTCAGAACTAAGATACACATTCAGTGTGTAACTTTTTTCTAAAAGTGAATAAATTGAGTTTAGTTTTAATGCTGTAAGAGTAAAAGCCAAATTGAAGTAACTTCTTTTTTTTTCTCTTTTACAGAAACCTCAAGTATTTGTTTTTATGTGATCTTCCTGGAATAAGAAATAAAGAAAACCTTGTCCAAGCCTTTAAGACAACACTACCTTCTCTGGAACTAAAATTAGACTTGAAGTGAAAATAATAATAATAAAAAATAAGTGCCTTATTCAATATAAAGTATCATTTAAAATTGTTGATCCCAAATATAGCGAATATTATGTAATCATCAGTAGACCTATCAGGATATCATCTCATATTTTAAAAGCAGAAAGTCCATCATGTAGAAAATAAATATTCAGACAAGACTCCCTAAAGTTACTAATTTGGAAGTGGTGCAAACCAGGTAGCATTTTAATCTTAATATACCCCTCATTTTATATAGATACCTGTACAGATAACTCTGATTTAGATACTGACTTGAGTTTTTTCAAGTTATTTACATGTACAACACAGATATTCCTTATTGTATTTTGACAGTAATTTATGTTAAATTTTGGCTTAAAGATATTGAAGCATGTTACTATAAATGTACAACTATGAAAAATTGAAAGTGATTCATTGATGAAGTCAATTATGCAAAGTAACCAGTGGTTACTGAGGCATTCGTATTGCTTCCCAGGGTTTGCATGCCTTTCTCATGATCCTGCATTCCTGTTTTTTATAATATCATCCTTTCTCTGAATGACTAGTTTCTGGCTAATTTGCCTATTTGGTAAGTTTAGTCTGGTGTTTTATTAAAAGTAGACATAAATAGTTGGCTGAAGTCAAATAGTTTTGCTGATTGCAGTAAAACAGAGGAAATAAACATGAAGACCAGTACAACTGTACTTGCTTTTTGCTTAAATTTAATTTTTAAATTAAATTTTAAAAATGCTTTAAACAGAAAATTTTAACATGTCAATTAGAAACTGATTTTTATTCCCCCCTATTTGTTTGATACTATTCCCTATGAGCTCAAGGGACATCATGAAGGAATATAAACAAAAAATTCAATGCCTAGAAAGCAGTGATAAAGAATATCATTAAATAAAACATGTCTTTATCTTTACCCGAAATGGCTCTGATTCTATTATTGTTATATGCCGATTTCTTTGTGGATTTCTGTATGTTTGGTTTAAATATTAAGCTGTTGAATATGACTTCGGAAATAAACATTTTCTATGATACAGCATTCTGGTAAATAAATGAATCTTAATTGCGCTTAGAAACCAGCTTATGTAAATACACATACCATAAATTATACACTATATACTATTATAATATTTACTAATATAATTACCACTGTCATTTTTTAAGAATCAGAAAATAATAAATTTTTTAAAAAGACAAGGATATAGAACAGTCTCATGTGAAACAATAGATATTCTATGTGAAAAAAGGTTGCAGATATGGTTAAGTTAAACATAAGCATACATTTACTAGAACTCATTAGAGAAAACAAGCACATCTGTCTCAGGTTTGTTTGATTGCTGTGTAATGAGGCAACTGATTAACCACAGTTTAGTCTGGAGCTACTTTCTATTCTGAATGGTATTCTGTAAAACAAATAAATTAGGCAGTTACAGTCACCTGCCTTGTCAAGTGCATTGTTTTGGGTTAAGGAAAAGAAGAAACACAAAATGTAAACTATGCACAGAAGTTGGATATCCTTCCTTGTCATTTGATGCAAGACTTCAAAGCAAGAATTAGATAATACTAGGATTAGTGATTAACTTACTATCAGACCTATGCAAGAAGCTACATACATCAGGAAGACTTTGGATATCATTAAACTGGCTGGGGTAGCCAAACTGATTAACAGTTGCCAGAATTTGGTGCATTACTTAGCTGTTAGTGAATAAGGTCAAATACTCTCATGAAGAAAATTAGTACAGCAGTAAACTGAGGGTGCATAAGAAATGTTTTGAAGATATAGTAAAATATAACTTCAAAAACCATGGCTGAGAACTACTAGGAAATAGTAGCAGCACATCAACCAAAAATGGCTTTGAGTTATAAGAAAAGACACGGATTTTATATTGCCCTTGTGTCCTAGTGACGAGGAAGAAGCTGTTTGAATAGGAGCAACAGGCCAAATCAGAGCTAATTATGTCATTTTAAGTATCACTGTGCATTTTAAGTATCACTGTGCAAAATTAGGAATCCTCAATATCATTTTGGACTACAGTTTTATTACTAGTTGTTAGAATAGTATGTATATACACACACATAAAATAAATGTGCATGTGTGTGTATACACACACACACACAGTGTAAAAAGATATTTCAGGGAAAACAGTTTACAACCTAAGGTCTCTAATGACCAAGTAAAAGCTCACAAGCAATTTCTTACAAAATCCAGGTCACTATAGTCCTGCCTATGGGTCTGACTTCAAGTCTTAGACTAAGCTGGAGAGAATGAAGTACTAATTACTTTTAGGCTGTCAGGCTCAGTTCCTGCCAAACCCATAGGTTTTGGTCTACCCCTTGCACCTTGGTCAGCTGTCAATCTTCATGCCGTTGTTTGCAAAGGAATTGAGTGAACAAATGTAGATGGAATATAGTAATCCATCTTGCTGCAAAAACGACTAAGATGCATCCTTTACTAAACGGAAAGACAAAAGTATATGTGAGAAATGTCTATAAACATATCATTGGATATATAAACATGTGAGTTTTTTATGATAGTACATGATTTTAAGTATTTTGAATAACTTAAATATTTCAAAAAGTTTTAAAATTTAAGAACTAAGAGCATGCAGGAAATGGAATTTTAAATATTTTGATTTCAAGAACTTACACCCTTCTTAAATATGATGGTGAAACAATCTAAAAAGACTGGAGATAGGACTCAAGGCAATAGAGATCTGAGGAAACGGGCATTGTGTAATCCATTTTTCACTTGTTGCATATGGTACAATGGAAGCATAAACCTTTTTTACATCTTTAGTTTTGCCAGAGGAACAGGAAGTAGATACTATTTCTATATCTGTCCATAAGTCCAGCTACTTAGATACAACAAAAACACAAGTGGGAATCCAAATAAGTTTTCCCCTTCTGTTGCAGGCAGCATCACCAAGCATGGAGGACTGCTTCTGAAATTTCTCTTCATATCTTGCCAAGTTGTCTCTCCCAGTTAGTTACTTATGTTTTCTCAACATTGGAATGGTTTTCAATCAAATGTATGGGTTTTTTTTTCTTTTGAGTTATTGATCAGTTCTTTTTTTATCCAAGCTTCTTAAATGTTTGGAAAGTGGTAGTTAAGTTTCTTCGGATTATAGCAGTACTTCTTATTATCCAAAGCTGGAAGGATGCTGCTGTTAGTCAGCTGAGGTAGATACTGCAACTGAAAATACAAGGCACAGAATTAGGTTTAATGCCATGTACTTTTTTCATTGTTGGTAACATGTCACAAAAGAGGTAAATAAGTTAAATTTTCAGCACAGAAATACTTTTTCTGCACTGAATCCAGAACCTGAGAGAGGACAAAATGTTTACATTTGGTCTCTGCTTTTCCTTTTAGAGGTTTATTTCCTATTAAGAATAAAAACATGCACATTAAGGAAAATTTAGAGAATATAAAAAGGAAAAGTCTACATGTTAACATTATTGGAAAAAAGCATATATTCACAAGAGCGAGGCATACGTTCACAGGATCATTTGAGCCAATGCCTTGTTTTACAGCAAAGAAAACTGGTATCTGGAGCACTTAGGCAATTTGCTCACTTTCTCCTCAGTTAAAAAAAGACAAAACTGTCTCCTTCATGCTGCCAGAAAATGCTTGAATTTATTGTAAATGTCATGTGAAAACAAGGAGAACACACACATCTACTTTTTTATTGTACTATACGACTGTAGATATCTGAAAAGCAGGGTTTTTTTTTAATTTTAAATTACAGTTGAATCCTTCAGTAATTACAAGCAATACACAAATTAGCAGGATTCCCATATTTTTTTCAAATAAAAATATTTCCATCAAGACCCTTTACTCTTGAACACAAAGAAACGGCAAGATAAGGTGTAACTCTGAAGCGGGAGTCTATTTCCAACCTGCTTTGCTACCTGGATCATATATGACAGAGACTAAAATAAAAGCATTCTTCATTTTGAAACTGACCTATCTTAGGGTCCTGAAGTTCTTGTGGTACCTGTTCCTAATGGTCAGGATACCCTCTTCCCTCCTCTAAACCTCACACACACCACCAGATACTACTGAACATGCTGTACAGTGGAGGCTGCAAAGGGGAAGTCTAAGCTAAGGCAAGATAATTTAAGCTAAGGGGTATCTAGACAGTTTCAGAAGTGACCAGGAGCAGCCAGCTCATCTTAGTTGTCATTCCCAACTACAGTCCATTCTAAATTGTTACAGCTTCTGGCTTATGACAAGACACTTATTGTAAGGCCATTTTGCCACTTTACACCAATCATGAAGCTTCACAGGCTCTCAGGGTGCTGTTTTGGAGGCAATTCTTTGGTTAAATGTGCTGTTCTGCTGCTATCCCGGAAGGCACTCATCACTGCTTTTACCCAAGTCAACTCTGGTGATTAAAGGATCAGGAGGGAAAACAGTTCCTTTGAGGGGAAACCTGGAATGTCAATTAATACTGAAGGTAAACAAGATGACAGAGAGCTACTAGGATGAATCTGGGTTCATTTTCCAAAGCACAAAAAGCATACTCTGCTGGACTGACAGTGGGTACTTGGCCGAGACCTGCGCTCAAGCACACCAAAAATCCCGGCCCTTGTGTGGCAGCTGGGAACTGCAGGGCAAGAACATCTTTCGGATTCAGGGAAAAGGGGCCTTGGGAGGCAGCTGTCTAGGGGGCCCTGGTTGGTAAATCATGGGACCAGTGTCCTGGGGCAGGAATGAGGTCCTGGAGCTGCAAGCCGCGATTGCCACCACAAGTGTAGATTCAGACCCTCTTGACTAGGTGGCAGATAGATCATTTGACATTGCAACCTTGGATGCTTTTGTAAAGCCATGCCCCATTCTTACCCCAGGCAAGTGCTTTCGGTTCTGCCTCAGGGCCTTCCTTGCTGGTTTGTCGTGATCTTTTGCCAAATTCCCTTTTTCTCTGATGCTGTCAAAATATGGGTGCTGCAACAACTGTTCACACGTCAGTCTCTCAGCAGGATTCATGTGCAGACAGCCCTAAAAGAAGGAAAAATTCCACCTTCCTTTAAAAATAATACGAATGTATTAATGTCATTTTTTATATTTGTAAGATTAAACTTATAGTTTGATCAGTTGGGAACAAGATAGAGGGAAAAGGGGAGGAAACACCCAATCATGGTTTTAGTTCCTTCCATGATGATTCCTAAATGAGGAGCCACAGAATAAATAAATAGTTTCTGGAAATAGTAAGAAAAAATCATTTTTCCCACCTTGTTCTCTTCTTGAGGCAGTTGTTACTCTGACCTCAGTGTCTAGCTTGAATTATCCACTTAGCCTCTTTGGTCCCTTGCATATATTTTGTGAAAACTAGGTTGATTTTTTTTTCACTTCAAAAATAATGCCAACACATGGTAAAAATAAAGTGCATACAAGATTCAGCAAAGTCTCTCAACCACTCTAGTTTTTCCATTCCCCCTTCTAAAATCAAAATTTTTTTTAAATTCTTTCAGAAATAGTCTATGCATTACAAGCATACATGTGTCTGCATGGAAGGAGAGGCATAGTATACATCCTTTTGTATAACACCATTTTAACTATTTGTTTTGCCAGGGAGCTTTCCATAGGGCTCATCCTGGATATATTACATCTCGTGACCCCATACCCCAAGGAACTGTCTCACGTTTTAAATTATGTTATAAATACATCAGTAAATGTAGTCAATACTTTTTGAAATGGGTGGGACATTGACAGTAACTTGCAAATATTTTAACAGCTCCTCATCCACATAAGGCCTAGATATTCTTGAAAATGTGTATGTATATAAATTTTAAAATCAAAACCTACTTCAAGTATACCAGGGAGATGGCTCTTTAAAAGGATCCTATGGCTATCATTTTTTGAAGAAAAAGATCTTTTTTAAAATAAACCACTCCTCTGTAATTTCTATTTTGTGTAAATTTAGAAGTCAAATACAATGTTAGGTTTATTTAAAGTGAAAAACACTTACAGATGTTTGTACTGTAGTAGAATGTGACCCATTTTAAAAACTGAAAACATGTATACTTTTCAAAGGAGAAGAATTCTAAAAGGAACACCTTTCAATCAGTGGATTCCCCAATGACAACAGCTGCTGGAAAAGCCATGATTTTACCTTCAAGAGCCCCAGGGCAGGATAAGAGATGTTTGGAAATTTTAATTCAAGTGGTTCCTGTTTAAAAAAGAAAAGAAAGAAAGAAAGAAAGAAAAGGGGGTTTTACTTACAGCATGTATTCCAGTAAGAGGTTACTTCAGATTGCATTTCTTCTGAGTGAGAGCAGCATCTTCCTGGCACCTTCCTTGCCTCCTCCACCCTCTGCCCACCATACCGCTCACCCGCAACAGCCTCCCTCTGCCTGTTTCACCAGCCCTTCTCTCCCCACCTCCAGATTGCTTTTCCAAATCTTCTTCCGAGCCACTCCCTTCACTTTCTGAATAACTGATGCAGGTAGCAAATTATGAGAAAACACTAGTGAAACAAACAAACAAGCAAATTCATTGAGCAATTGTTACTTCCTTTTTTTCCTGCCTCAGTTTATATAACTTGCCTTGCCTCAGAATAATTTTTGGCACTAATATTGGCTTTTTATATAAAGGGGCCCAATTTTGCATTTATTGACATTCACAAAAACAGAGCTTCAAAATAGATTTTTTTTTCATTACCCACGTGAACAGATGCTTCTTGGTTTTCTAAAATGAACACTGTTGTCTTCTCCCACAAGAACCTGCTGTTTCCCTGATCATCCTACTGTTTAAAGAGTCTCCCAAGCAGATAGTCTTCAAACTCCCTTTGGCCCTGTACGACTTATTTTGTTCCAGTCACATGCTAGAGACAATGAGAGATAACAAACACGATAAAGTGGAAGAAATGCCCAATGCCAGACAAACAGATAAGCCAGTGAAAGGGATACACCACAGATGAACAGGCTAATCAGAGAGGGGAGCTGGGAAAATAAGAGCCAGCCAAGCTGAGTAAAATAAACGGCCAGCTGTGTTGAGTGTACAACGATGGCAGTGTGTGAGCTGGGGTCTGGAGTGGCTGGCCCGGCTCAGCAAAAGAAACGCCACCCCTGGCACTGCAAGCACAGTGCTGTTTTAAAGAGGGAACCAGACAAAAACAACCAATTCCCAGGTGTGTACTTATTAATCTTTGATAAGAGTAAGAGACCAGAGCCTCCGTTTTGGAATTCCCTACCAGATACAGGGAGGGGAAAAAAAAAATCCTTAAGCAGATTTGTATTAGCCCTTGAGAGTAGCGCCCTCTCGCCCCCTGCCCTCCACAGCCAGAGCTTAAGTCAGCGTTTTTAACTGGTGGGCCACAAGAATTTTTAAAACATGAAATAGCTACTTAGTCAGGGGCACTGACCTCTTTTTCTTTCGAATGTCAAATAAAAAAAATGACAACAGCCAACACAATGCTAGACACCCAGTGTGAATAAATCAAAATAAACCTATATTCTGTCTGATCAGCAAAAAATACATTTTTCAGTGTGCTGCAGAATTTTAGTTTTAGTTTGTGTGTGCCATGAGATGAAAAAGGTTGAAAATTGCTGGCTTAAATATTTCTCTTGCTATTTCTGTGTGTTGCCTCTGAGCTCGGCTGGGAATTGATAGGACATTGCTGACACTGGGCCCTGCTGTCTCAGCAGCAGGGCGTGGGGTGAGGCTGGTGGGTCGGCCGCGATACAATGGGCCCATCCTGCCGGCTTAGCCAGTTTTCCCAGCCCCAGAAGCAAGCAGGCCTCCCTCCAGCAAGGTTACTGACCAGCAGAGGGACTCAAACACAGATGTTGAACCAGCACATCCCCTTCACTGCTGCTTCCTGTGTTTCTGTCAACAGGAAATCCCCTGCAGAACCACCTCTGGGACACCATGGGAAGCTTTTACATTTATGAAACCTGGACTGTTTCTGAGGCTTCACCAGTACACAAGCAAACAGGAAATCCTAAGGGATATTTAGTGTGGAACTGGGAATGTCCAGGTCACTAGGGAGCCAGCTGGGTCACCTCCCATATGCCAGGTGTCATTCCTACTTCTCTGTCCCAGCATGCTCCCAGCACGACCCACTTTTCCCCTTGCTAGCGGTGGCAGGAATGGGAAGAGGAAGTGTTCTCTGCGAGGCAAGCCAAGGGGCTGAGGGAACAGACAGCGCAAATGGCACTTGACAGAACCCCGACGTGGAAACTGAGCAACTGGAGGGTTAGTTTCGATTTGAAAGTACCTTTCTTAGACAGTAGAAACTCAGACAAACTTTAACTGTGCTCTGAAATGTTTTTGATTATTATACAAGCCCATTAGAAGACATAAAAAATATTGAAAAACCATAAAGAAAAGAAAAAAATTACCCCACCACAAGAGATATACCCTATTAATATTGTTGTATCTATATGCAGCCATTTATCTCACAAATGTAAAAAGCTTTGCATGATTTTTCAAAGGCTGTCATATTATTTTATACTTATATATAAATATATACATTGTGTAGCAAATATTTATTACAATTATGTCAAATTATATATACTGTTTTATAAGCATTTTTTCATTTGGCAATATGTTGTGAATTTTTTTTCAAGTGAATACATAAAAATATTTTTACTGGCTCTGTGGTATTTCTATGGTAAGGATATACCGTAAGTTATTTAATCCTCTACTGAGGGACAAAAAAGGAAATGATTTCTATTAAAGAATGTTACATCTTTATGCCTTTCATTGGAATAAATTCTTCAAAGTGGACTAAGGACATGCATATTTTTAATTTTTCCGTTGTTTTTAGAATGAGTACGTTCCCCACATTGAGCACAGAGCGCAGGCCCCCGAGTGAGGCTGGCCGTGCAAGGTCATTCCCGTTCCCCTCATGGTCTGGGCAGTGAGGGCACAGCAGAGCAGGGGATTTGGACAATGCTGGATTTTCCTGGATGAGTCATTGTCTGAAGTTGATTGGCTCTGAGCTTCAACTGCTGAAATGATGAAGGGCCGGTGAGCGCAGGGCAGGCACTCTGCATTCCTGTCCCTCATGCTCACTAACCACCACTAGCTAGGTTTTGGTAGTTACTCACTTGCCTGAGTCCCAATTTTTTTTTTTTTCCCACCCTTAGAGTGACCTTCCAGGGCAGACTGGGCCATAGGGCTCAAGAAAGTAACTACCAAAATGTAGTTAGCCTCTCCCTGTTTAAATAGGATGATCACCACTTAAATACTCTGTTAACCTCCGCTCTCGCATGCAGGATTCTTTCCAAAATGGGTCACTCACCATATCTTCAGGGTCTGGAATTTTCACCCCACTGAAGTACTGATTGGTGCTAAACACTTGCTGGTGCCTAGGAATGAGATCTCCTTTGGAGAGAAGAAAGAGGAAGTAACATGAGATGGGTTAGCAAGCACTAACCTGTGGTGTCCCTTTTTCTGGTTCTGTGTCTGCCTGTGCCTGCAACCTACGAAGGCTACAGTCTACTCTCCAATCAGAGGGAGAGGCATTGAGGCAGCGTCAACAACCTGCACTGAGGTCTACATTGCACGAAGCGCAGTGAGGCACAGAGGAGGCACGCACAGAAACGGAGGACTACAAGGTTCTTACCCCTCAAGGCTCAGAGTGTGCTTACGTAATCCAAACCAAACAACTCAGAAGCACATACACAGATCAAATAAACCCCTCGTTTTTATTAGCAAAAGTACAACTACACATCAAAATCATGTTAACTGAATGAATCCTGATGGGTTAAGATAAAAGTGTATTATTGGCCTAAGATTAGCACAGTACCTAACATTTAACAAGCATTCAAAAAATATTTTAGGAAGGAGAGAAGGAAGGAAGGAAGGAAGGGGAAAAGGAGGTGAAGGAAGGAGAAATGAGGGAGGGAGGGAGAGAGAAAGGGGGAGGGAGAAAGGGGACCCTTGGAAGATGTAACTAGAAGGAATACATTTCTAACCTGGAACCACTTTGTTTTCTTGTTTCACCAAGTAGCGGTCACCTGAAAATCCTGTTTTATCCACTGTTTAACAGTACTGACAATGTGAAGCGACAAAACAAAAGGAGCATTTCTATATTCTGGGGATTATGTGAGGCTCACTCTGCCCACATTTCAACCAAATCAGCTAGAATTGCCCTCACGCAAAATTCTAGGGATTGTACACTTAAAGAGGAATTTTGTTCAGAGAATGCAAGGAGATACTCAGAAAAGGGCACCCCCGAGGCACACCCAGGACCACTTCCCAGAGCACAGTGAGCAAAAAACCCTCCAAATCAGGCCTCCAGAATTGCTGCTATTGGACTGGGCTAGAGTTCCTACCCCAGGGTATCAAGTTGTCTAATTTTATCAATTTGGTTTGGAAATTTATCTCTCACTCAAATCCAAAAGCTGCTGTCCCACCCCATTTTGCACAAGCAGCTAAAAAATACTCTCTAATACCTTACCCCAGACCTCTGAGCTTCAGCCTGGGAACAGTGCCCGTACCTTAATAACCTTCTTCCATCAGAGTTGGGGGGGCATGGAGAGGGTGTCCTAAAATGACCAGAGGAGACACAGCCAAGGAAGGATCAGTGCCCCTGCAAGGGTTCCCAGGTCTCTTACTTGTCACTCAACAACAGCCATCAGCAACTATTTACTGCCTACCGTGTGCAGACACTGGTGGAGGGCAGACAGAAATAAAAGACACGACATCACCCTCAGGCAATTTACAGTATATTTGGGGAGATAGTAAAAGCCCGGGTGACAGCAGGGGCTGCAAGTTTTTGGAAGAGGACAGTTCTCTTTAAATTGGGATACTACTCAGGGAAGTAGTAGCTAAACTCCCCGACTTTTGAAGAGGACAATCACTGCTTATAGGTCTTTTCATCTGTCCCTCTCCTCTCTCTTCTCCTCCCCTCTGCGCCTCCACCCCAAGAGGGGAAAGAAAAGAAGTGGCTTTGGGGTGAGAAAGCACGACAAGAAGAGGGACATTAGAGGAGTGACTTTCTTCCTGACACACAGGAGGTTGAGAATCTTTCTCTATAGGGTCTGAATAATCCAAGTTAGCCTGGCAGGCTGGGGTCAAGGACAACAAACAAATGAGTTACCACATCATCGTCAATGAAATAATTTCGTCAGCGTCCTCTAAACTGCTAAGCCCTTGTAGAAATATATGTGTGTATTGTTGCTACAATCATGATTCAGAGTTTAACTTGATCCAAACAAATGCCAAAAGAGAGAATTGTGTCCTTTTGGACAATTAATACATAGTCAAAACTGTGGATTCTTTTTATTAAGACAAACGTGGACACCCTCAATGGGATCATTTAAATGAGACATTGAGAGTGTCCCTCCTCCACAACTGTAAAGGGCAGTAGGTGGGACTAGGAGCTTGGCTCTGCTCTGCACTGATGTGAGTAAAACTACCCCGTTTTCCAAAAGGCGGGACAGAGGTACCGCTTACCCAAGGTTTTCCTGATCAGGTAGAGCTGATCCACATCGGATTTTCCTGGCCACAGAGGCACCCCTGACAGCAGCTCAGCAAAGACACAGCCGATTGCCCAAACATCTACTGGGGGGCCATACTGCATGTCCCCCACCAACAGCTCCGGGGAGCGGTACCACCGGGTAGCCACGTAGTCCGTGTAGTAGTCACTCGGTCCAGCTGGCCAGGGATGGGACATGGGAAACAGAGAGAGCAGTGGAAGCGTGAGATCAAAACTGGGAGGGCAGAGACCTAAGACATCCAGCTTGTGCCCCAGCTGTGGCTTTTCTAAATCAGTGGCTCTCAGTACTACTTGTACATTAAAATCACTTAGAATATTGAATTTTTCAAAGTACTGATGCTTGGGCCCCACCCTAGTCCAATTAAACCACAGTCCCTGGGCGAGGTGGATCCATATAGTTTTTACAGTTACAGTTCCCCATATGAGTCTAAACTGCAGCCACAGTTGAAAAACGCCTTTTTCTAAAATAGTACTTTGGTACTATTTTAGTATCCAAAAAATGGTAGAAACCAGGAGGGTAACATATTTTTTTAATAACCACTTTGCTGCAGTATAATTTCCATATAGCATACAATTTTTAAACCACTGTATGTGTCTACATGTTTTCAGTAACTACATAATAATTTGTAGCAAGCTTAGGACCTAAATATACAGGAACTAGCTTTCTATAGCATTTAATATATAAAGGATCTTTCCACCTTTTATACTTAAGAGAAGCTTCAATACTCACTCAAAAGCCGAGCAAATCCAAAGTCACAAAGCTTAATCACTGAATGTTTTGTGATCAGGATATTTTCTGGCTTCACATCTCTATGTATGCACTAGTCACAGAAATAGAACCAAAATAGATTATTAAAGAGAAACTATAATATATGGGATAAATAAAACACATGAATAATTAGCAAATCATTGAGAAGTCATTTGAACCTCTCACTGGTCTTTTGGATAATAAGCTGCAAAGTCCCAAAATTTGCAAAAGAGCAGCATGAAATAAATTTAGTGTCCTACCTGTCATAGCCTGTATCATTCCAAATTCCTGAAGGGGACAAAAGGACCAACAAGGACAGCCAGGTAAATTTACATTTTAGTTAAACAATTTTTGAGTATAAGTATGTCTCATGTAGTACTTGGCGTGTATTTAATCTGGCAACCCTAGGGGAAAGGGAAATGTCAAAAGGCTCTGGACAAGGCCTCCACCATGGCTGCTGGAGCTGCAAGCTGGTGCAGAAGCAGGATTCACCATTCAGTTGTTTAACAGAACAGAACACAGCCTGCCTGGTAAACAGGACAAGCCCTGGGCCTGCTGAGATAAGCTGGGGAAGAGAAGGGCGGGGACCCCGAGCTTGCCCAGCTTGCCGAGGGACCTCCCTTCCAGCTCTGACATTTGTTCTGACAAGATAAACAAGAGTAGGCAGCGCTCACCCTCTGGAGGGAGTCGCTAGATGTCAGCTCCGTCCCACACACATCAAGGGTACTTTGAGCTGCATCCACACCATAGTTTGGACTGAAATCACTTGTGCTTTCCAAACCACAGCAGATATTGCTTACCAGGGAGATGTTAGAAGAATGTTTAAGAATTGTCACATGATTTTCTTATAAAATAACTTCCTTGGCAAAGAACAAATCAACAACCTAATTAACAATTATATAAAAATGGTTGGCTTAAATTACTTTTCAGGGTCCCTAATCATCTCTCCTTCTTCCACTCCGGAGAAGAATGTCGGATCCTACAAGGAGAGACCCACCCTCTTTGGCTTGCAGCTGAACCCCTGGGGGTATTCTTGACTTTCTAGAATCTGGAAAAGGGACAAAGGTTCTTCTTGGGTCTGGCCTAGTACTCACTCCAAAGGCCCTTCAGGGTGAGAGATCAATGTCAGTGTTTCCCCAAAGGGTATTAATTCCTCTGGAAAAAAATTTGGGAAACAATTTCTGAATTATTTTATTTGAATCTATCTGGTTCTCAGCAACTAGTGGCCCTGAGATCTTCACTCTTTTCCCACTGGCTTCACATATTACTATAAATGGGCACACCCATAGATACCACGATGACAGATGGGCAGAAGGACTTGTAAGCAAGAATGTGCTCCTATTCTGTTCTGGGAATTCTTTACAAGTTGCTACGCCCTCCCCTCATCAGCACTTGCAGCCAAACAGCAGTCAGGGGCTCTTCAGGGAACAGAGGTATGCATTTGCCCTTGGTGTCTCTCATTTGCCCCACCAGGGTCTTTATGCAGCCTCTCTTGCTCCCCCATCCTAACACCTACTTTCAGGAGAGTGCTAATTCTCACTCGCTTGTAGTTAATAGTAGTATAAGGTATCCATGTTCTCTGCTTTTTGCATTTTGACAAGGATCGTAGCCTTCATTCAGCAAGGTGGAGACTCAGTAGGGAGAAGTGCTGACTACTATCATTTTTTCTCCGTCCTGGAAGGCAGCGTTGGGAAAAATCATTTAGAAAGAGCTCCAAGATGAGGATTCAGGCCCATCAGCTAAATTGACCCTGGCAGTCAGTACACTGACCTATTGCAGTCAGACAGCCTTGTGGCCAAAATGAAGCTCTAACATTGGGACTTGGCTCCTGTGTGCAGGGAGTGGGCAGTGTTCTATAGGAGGGGGCAACAGGCTTCCCAGCCTGTGTGAAATCACACCATCTGGGGCCACTGCCTCTGTCAGGCCTCACGGTGGCCAGGAGCGTCACAGGCCTCCACTGGGCTGGTTCATGCCAGACCTGGCACTCATAGCTCAGCAAAGCAGACGCTAGCACTGAGGCATCGTGCCTGGAACCCCACCTGCTGCAACTGAACAGACACAAGTGATGTGGGTTCCCCTTCCCAATTTCAGAGTCTTGGAAATGGAGCAGACCCACAGAGACTCCAAGTGAATGAGATGCTACCTGAAATCTGAGTAGCTTCTGATCAGTGTAACTACTTTCTGAAAATCATAAAAAGGCATCCTTTATGTAACCTGAGCAAGAAGGAATAGTTAGGTTGGCATTTTTAGCCTCTACTTACCCCAACTACTTACTTTGTAAGTAGAGGCATTTTTAGCCTCTACTTACAAAGGTTTAAGAAGATTTGGATAAGAAATGATATCCACAAAAGCACAATATAAACTTTGAACAAAGGCTCCACCTCAGCTTAAGGGCAGCCTTCTGATTTCTTCAAGGGAAATCATGAGACTTACATTGTGTTTATGGCAAAAATTTACAGCTTGCAGTGTCTGCCAAGTTATGCTCCTCACGAGATGTTCTGGAACCCTACAGAAAACAAAGAAGCGGCATGAATACAGGCTTAAATAGTGAAAAATCCTAGGTGGCACATACAGTCATCGAACTCATCGCAGCGTCAAAGTGTGAAGGACACGTGATCAGCACACTGCTGAACTCTAGGCACAGCAAACCAACAACAATGCTCTCATCTGCTTTGATGGGAGGTGGGGAGGACCATGAAGACCCATGGGGATTTCAGCACATGTTTATGACCAGCGATCTCAAATATCTGTGACACCACTGGGAACCTTCCTGGTAACTTGAGCTCCATTTCTATAAGAAGATTTTTGTGGGTGGAAAGGTAGTTAACATATAGCATAAAATATGCTGTTTGTTTTGTCTAGTTGCCCCAAACTCATGGCCTTGCAGCAGAACTCTTTTTCTGTGTGTGAGCACTTGGTTTCTTCAGGCTCCCTAGGCAGGATATTTTTTAAGGCAATGAAGATTTTACTGAAGATAGGGAAGAAGTTTACATTGTACACCACGTAACAAAAGTTAACGATAATTAAAAACCCACGTGGGCAGCCCGGTCCCGTCCCCACACTGCTCCTCCCTGCTAGCTCGCTGCACCCCTCTCCTCTTCCTGCCTCTGCCCTTTCACCGCATCTAAACTTGATGCCACTGTTGCCAGTACACCTCTGACTTTGAGCTTATATAACCAGGCACCCACGAGCCCCAGGAGGTCCTTTGTGCGAATTAGAAGAAAAGCACCTCCTAGGGGAGACTTTTTTTAAAAAAGTTAGGCAGGGGTGAAAGGGGCCACAGAAAGTGTACACTTATTTTCAGAGACTCCTACCCACCAGCTGGACCTAGTGTTTTGACGAATCAAATATTAAACAATGTTGTTGTGGTCCCCAGGCAGAACTAAGAAGTAAGGAAGGGAGGAAACTCCTGAGTAGTTGTGTCAAGGTGACCAAAAAAAGTCACTTCCAGTCTCTGAGAGGGGCTGCAAGGTCACTGTTGCCACAGACCAGATGTTTAGGAAATCCTTTCAAGCAGATAAGAGGCTGCTTCAACAGTGGGACAACATGAAAGAGGCCACTTCCAGGAAGACAAGCTGGAACATTTCCACATCAGAACTATGGCCCTTGGATTCAAGTAGCTCCCCTCTAAGTTCTCTTCCTTATTCTCGTGGCAGGTAGGCCCAGATGCTAGAAAAACTCACCTGTCTAGAAAAAGACAACTAAGAAGGGAATATTTTGGGGAAAATGTTTTCCCCTAGCCTCCACATTCTGTCCAGAAAAATGGAATATATCTTGATTATTTAATGAATTAACTATTAATATAAGGTTATCCATCCCAGGCAAATTAAGTTTTTAAGAACATTTCCCAAAAGAAATTATTTAAAAGGAACATTTAAATTACATTATAATAGCATATTATTAATGTTCCTTTAAGGCTGAGCACACTTATTACACAATTCCCATGTATGAAAACTCTATGCAAATGACCTAGTGTTGTCTTGGGCTCACCACTCATTTCACTTCTTTTTTTTTTTTTTTAAGATTTTCTTTTATTTATTTTTAGAGAGGGGGAAGGGAAGGAAAAAGAGAGGGAGAGAAACATCAATGTGTGGCTGCTTCTTGCATGCCCCCTACCCAGGACCTGGCTTGCAACCCAGGCATGTGCCCTGACTGGGAATTGAACCAGAAACTCTTTGGTTTGCAGGCCAGCACTCAATCTACTGAGCCACATCAGCCAGGGCATCCCTTCATTTCTTTATTGCTCCATTTCTTCTCTGAAATGCCAGGGCCTCGGATTCTACCTCTACGATTCTTTTTAGCTGCTTATGCTAGGAGTCAGGTTTTTCACTGCTGAAGATGGGAGTTATAAATATGGAAAGGGAGAAAGGTAGAATCTATTCTGTGGTGTTGGACTGGAATTGGATATGCACATATGTAGGAGGGTGCTGTGTTGTAAGGGGTTCTATCTTATATAAAATGTTCCAGAAAGCTCCTCTGCTTCACTACTTCAGACACAGTGGTTAAGTGATAATATTTGGCCAGATTTAGGCCACATTTTAAAAATAGAGCCTTCAGGATTTTCTGAGGGATTTGTGAGAAAAAGAGAGAAAACAAGGACTGACATGAGGGTTAGTTTAAGTACCTGGTTCATGTTGGACCTTATACTGAGAAGAATGCTGGGGCAGGGAGAGGGCGGGGGTGGGGTTTGGCTTGGGGGGAGGGGAAGGTGGATAAACTGAGATGCCCTGGGGACTTCTAAGGGACTCTAAGTAGGAAGTTATGAATTCAGAAGGAAGGTCCAGCTTGAAATATAAATGTGGAAATCACAAGACTATTGGTGGTACTTAGAGCCCTAGGACAGGATGGAGCCACTTGAGAAGTGAATACAGAAGAAAAGGAGATCAAAGTCCAGAGGCCCAGAAACTTGGAGGGACCAGCAAAAGACTGGGGTTGAGCATCGCATGAATTAAGACCTCACTCAGGAGAACAGCATCACTGAAGCCAACTGAAAAAAAGTGCCTCAAAGGACTTCTGGATTAGGATGGTGGACTGAACAAACCCGTCTCACTTCACTGCCTTCCCAAACCGGACTAGAAATACACCGAGAGAATAGAACTGTTCAGAGAGAATAGAGAAAGAGGTGATAACGCATTTTGGAATCTGGAAAGCAGTCTGATGAATGATAACTGACAACAGGTCCTAGAAAGCTGAAAGCCAAGCCCAGAGTGGGGAGAGGGGAGGACAAGCCCATTTACCCCAAAGATCCCTCAGAAGGCTCAGGACCCAGCAGTCAAGATCTGTGTGGAAATGGGGGGAAAGGAGTGTGGAAAAATCTGTTTGGGAAAGAAGTCCCTAGACCCTCTCCCCTGTTCTAGTCCAGTAGGGAATACTCTTCCCTTACTAAGTAGAAGGCTGGAGTTTTGTTTTCTGAGGAGGACAAAACAGAGCACATTTGGGTCAGTTGAGATTTTGGATTCTGTTCCAAAAGCAGGATACATACTGAGTATTGCATTCACACTAAGTATCGAATTCTGAGACTCCCCAACCCTCTTACAGCACTAGGTTCTGAGAAAGCCGGCAGCCTGACTTTACTCTTTAGGCAAAATATTGGAAGGCTTTTTCTAGTGGAAGTTCAGGACAAAAAATCCAACAATGGGGTTTCCCCAGCAAAAGGTCTGGCCAGATTACCCAAAAGTGAAGCTCTGAGCTTTCCATAGCTTCCTACTCTAAACCATAGGCATACAACCAGACATTATATTTGCCCAAGGAAGTATCACATAAGAAAGTTAAAGACCAAAGCAAACAGAAAGAAAGCAACTCAAAAGAAAAAAACAAAAACTAGGGAGAATGAAGAGAACATTAAAAAAAATCATTAATATCCTCAGAGAGGGTGGAACAGGAAAGCTGTTGCATCCGTGAAACAAGCACAGGACACTATAAGAAAACAAGAGGGCCAAAAACTCAGACATCCAAATAATAGAAGGCCCAGGAAAAGAGAAAATAGAGAAAACAAAGGACAGGAAATCAATAACAAAATAATTCAAAAAAAATTTTTTCTCAGACAGAAAGGGCCCACCAAGTGCCAGAATAATGGGTGAAAAGCAAGGCCCATGACTTTCATAATTCAGAGTGCTGCGAGTAAAGAGGGTGCTAGAAGCTTCTGGAAATAAAAAAGAAACAGAAATTCACAAAGAAGCAGAAAAGAGAATGACAACAGACATCTTAACAGCACTGAGCTAGAAGGTACTTAAAAATGCCTCCAAAATTCTGAAGAAATATTATTTTTCACCAAAAACAAACAAAATATTAAGTAAGCATGAAGAGAACATACTTTTTAAACATGCAAAGGCAAAGTCTCAGTCTCTCGCTCTCCTTTAACCTCTCACACACCCTTTCTCGGGAAGCCCCCCAGAGGATGCCCTCCCCCAAAAAAGGAGTAAACTACCAAAGAAGGCTCCGTGGAACGGAGAGCACTGGAGACCTGACCCAGAGGGGGGCAACAGCAACTTGGAGGGGGAGGTGAAGGGAAATCACGGACAACAGCTGCACTCCAGGCGCAGACAGCAACCCGTCCGGCTCAGAAGAGCGTGACTCAAGAGCCAGGCATGTTGAGGGTTGTCATCATCATGCCCTCTGCCTTATACCATCTTAAATAAATATGAAAATATTTGACAAACAAACTTAAAAGCTTTGGAAGAGCCTGGGTGTCTGGCCAGACCCTTCAGGCTAAAGCAGACATTCTTAAAGCTCTAGCTTATGCTGGCAAGGCTAAGGAATTCACTGCACTTTATAGTGTGTGTTTCCCAACTGGTGGTTGATGGTCTCGTGGCCAAGCTCCGGGGCAGAGCGGGAAGGGCTGGAACAGTGATGGAGGGAAGGGGCCCCAATTCTCTCGCATTCTTGACTGCCTTTAAGAGTCCCTGTTTGGATTCTAACTCAAAGACAAGCTGTCCCTTTAGGGGAATTATGCATAAGCTCAACCTTAACCTGGGAGGGAAGTGGCATTTGAGCTTTATTCCTGGGCCTGGTTCTCCTCCACCATGAGGTTAGGCCATTGAACTTCAAACAAACCTTATCCCCATTTCCTCTCCCAGTAAACAGTGCTCCAGAGGAGCTGGACAGGATCCAGCCTGGGCCTCGTGGACTCCCAGCCAGCTGGGCAGGTCTCGCGGGATTTGCACTCCTGAAGCTGTCAGCTCCCCAGACCTAGAAGTGCAAGTCTAGGCAGGAAGTGAGAACACTGAGCAAGGACACTCGCTTTATTTTCTGCCCCAAACCTAGGTGGGAGGGGCTCAGCAAGGCACGTCTTCATTCCCTGAGTAGCTGGGTGGTCTTTCCTGGGGTCTTCAGGTCAGTGGCCTCACTGAGAGCTCCGACCGTTCCTCCGAAGCCCACTGGGTTGTCTCTCAGCTCAGCAGAGGGGCTCCTTCTGGGGCGAGTGCAATGGAATCCTTCTTCCACTAGTAGGAAGAGGTGGGGGAGGAATGTGCTCCGGAGTCCTCCACCAGCGTGACCCCATGGCCTTCTTCCTGCCTGCTTTGGGAATCTAGTTTCACCCCCAGGAACATAAGGGGATCCCAACTGCGTGACTCCACGGAGAGATGAGGCTCAGGGGTTGGGATATTATTAGAAATGCCTGTCATCTAGAATTCTGTGTGACTGTGCCATTTTTTTAAAGGATTGGAGAGGGATGTGCTTGGCCAAAATAAGTAAGTAAACCCAGAAAGAGAAAGACAGGAAATCCAGGAGGTAGTGAGTCCAACCATAGAGAAACGCAGTAGGATTCCAAGGATGACAGCAAAAGAAAGTCCCAGGAAGACAGCTGGATAACAGGCTCCGGGCACAGCAAGCCAGCGAGAGGGAGAATGGGCTTCTAAAGGCAGGAAGGTACCCCAGAAAAGGAATGAATGGATTATCTGATGTGATTATCCTGTGGAAAAGTATATTGAGATGCTATTAGAGTGAGAACAGTTAGTAATAGGGTTAAAGAATATAATTTTTAAATATCTTATTTATTTATTCAGAGAGAGGAGAAGGTAGGAAGAAAGAGAGGAAGTGAAAAAGGGATGCTTCTAGAGAAACGTCGATTGGCTGCCTCTCGCACATACCACAGCTGAGGACCAGGTCCGCAACCCAGGCACGTGCCCTGACTGGGAATCAAACAAGTGACCTTTTATTTCACAGAACAATATCCATCCAACTGAGCCATGCCGGCCAGGTCAGATTAAAGAATATTAAGTAAATTTAAAAAGCAAGGCAAATATTAATTTGTGGAAAAAGTACAAAAGGAAACCCTAGTATGGTAAAATATTCAGCTCTAAGTAATATTTACATAGTTATAACAGTTGGAACAGTGAATATGGAATTAAAAAAACTTTAATGTAATGATTTTGGGGGCATAGAAAGGGTAAACAGAGGGAATAATGGTGTAAGAAAGCAAAATTCTTATCTATCATAATAGGAAGTCTATAGATAACATCTAAATTGATAAAATCAAGAAATAGCGGTACATCATTCCTTTTATATTATATTATATTGCTGGATTTGATTTGTTAATAATAATTTTGCTATAGATTTTTACAACTATGTTCATGAGCAATATTTGTCTTTCATTTTCTTTTCTTGAAATGTCCTCATCTGGTTTTGGTACTAGGGTATAGTGCCCTCATAAAACGATTTGGGAAATGTTTCTTCCTCCTGTATTTTCTGAAGGAGTGTGTGTAGGGTTGCCATTATTTCTGCTTTATATGTTTGATGGAATTCATTCTTCAAACATTTTAATAATAAAAACCAATAGCACAACTATAAATCTACCACATGGCTGGTAAGGTAAATTGGTTTAGTTTGGCAAACCATACGACCCAATAATCCCTTTTTGAGAGCTTCTAAGGCAAAAGTGCAAAAGAAGAAACATCTATTGCAGGGAAAGTTTGATAGCAGAAACACTTATCAGACCAAACACTGAAAATAGCCTAAATATCAACAATGGAGGAATAGTTAGATAGTAATGTAACTACATGTACAATCTTATAGTTATTAATAGCAGATCTAAAGATTATATTATGACATAAATAGAAATGTATATGAAAGACTATTAAGTGAACAGCAGAATTGAGCGGGGAAAGGTCATCTCACCACAGCAACTCAAAGAATGTGGTGTTTTGTTTGGAAAAGCAGCCAGCAGGTTGACCGCTTTGACAATGGTCTCAGGCTTGCAGACACAGACTATTTTGTGAGCGCACTAAGGCAGTATCCATTTCAAAGGGGTAGGTGAACATTAAATAAATTTAACAGCATGATATGTAAAACCCGAATGCCAATTTATTCATCCTGTTGAAATCCTGAGTACCAGCTTATGCTCTCTTTGTAGACAATTCCATAAAGAAAGTCAAGTTATAATCAGATGGTGTTTGGTGAGTAAAATATTGGGATAAGGGACAGTAGCTATGTGACTGGTTACTGTCAATAGTCTGTGACAGCTTAGGCATACCTATCTCCAAATAATGAGGGTCTTGTCATTAGATAAAACATGCAATCACTAGTCAACTCAAACAATATCTTTAAGATTGCTCATAGGAACCCTGGACAGGTAGCTCAGTTGGTTAGAGCATTGACCTGATACACCAAGGTTATGGGTTTGATCCCAGGTCAGGACACATGAAAAGAACCACTGAATGCATCAATGATAGAATAACAAATCGATGTTTCTCTCTCTCACTCTCTTTCTTTCTTTCTCGCTCTCTCAATAAATAAAAAATTTTTGTAAAGATAGGTATCACAAAGGTCATATTTGAGCTATATCTGAAGGACAAGCAGGATTTTGCTAGGGAGAGTAGCAAAGGTAGGACAACCCAAGATGTGAGAAAACAGCACATCCTAAATCCTAGAATGCAAATTATTCCCGCAGCATGGGAAACTGGTGGGAATGGGGTGATCCTGCAGAGTGCCTATGGTGATCACGGGGTGTTCTGGCAGTAAGTGCGCAAACCTAAGGAGGACTCAGCCTGGCACCACGCAGGGAAAACACCAGCATTCGCACATTATCCTTTGTGGACAGCATCTAACAGATCAAATATGAAACTAAAGAAGAACCATTCTGGGACATTAGATCATCAGCTCATAGCATTATAGAGCTTGAAGTTCCCCTTCACTTCACCTGGTACTAAACTCTCATTTTCCCAGGTGGGGACACCTGGAGACAACCTGACAAAGGTCACACAGATTATGGTGACCTACTTTTACTAGAATGTACTTACAAATAACCCACGTCCATAGGAAAACATGTTCGTCTTTTCTGGAGCATATAAAATATATTTTAGCCAGTAGAGATGAAAAAAAAATCAGCTTTTAAAACTATGCTCTGGCTTGGGGGCTCAATTGGTCCTATACACAAAAAGGCTGCAGGTTCAGTTCTCAGTCAGGGCACATGTAGATTAGGGGTTCAATCCCAGGTTGGGGCACATACAGGAGGCAACAGATTGATGTTTCTCTCTCTGTCTGCCTCCCTCTCTCTCTCAAATCAATAAACACATCCTCGGATTAGGATTAAAAAACGAACAAACTCTAATCACTCCTTGTCCTATCTTTTTTTCTTCTCAAACTATATGCCAAAAAAGAACTGACTCCTTATTGCTTTCAAACCCCTACTAACCAGTGTTTTCAAGTGACTCAATCTAATATGATTAATCAAACTTCCTGCAACACCTTGTACATAGCCACAGGTAACTTATACTCATAAATTTCATTGAAGTGTCACTTCCAAGCTGTCAAAAGAGCAAATATCAACATACTAAAGGTTTTCTCCCTTGAATGCATAATTTCTCCACATCAATGACTTCCTGAAGGGAGGTGTCTGTTTTCTTGGCTCCCTCTGGTTGTGTAAATTAACATGAAAAACCTATGCCATGGTCAAACTACAAGTCACTTTAATCCCATTTGCCTGGAGGTTCAGGCAGATAATATATAACCACAATTACATGACAGAGCAAGCTCTTGGCCAAGGCTTGACAGCATTGTTAAAAGAGCCTCAGCCTCCAGCCACTGAGTATGAATGTGATCAAGATGGGGCATCATTCCATCACTCTGATTTACAATGCACTACGCATATTGTCCCTAGCCAAGGTTGGGCTCCCAGAAACAGAGCAAAAGGAAAGGATGGAATATTCTTTACTGCTTAAATTCTCTTAAATCTCACTGTTCAACACAAAGGCCACCTCCTCCAAGAAGTCTTCCTTGACTGACCTGTTTTGAATCATATTTCCCAGGGCCTGTTAATTATTCTACCCTCTCCTTCTGGTCACAATGATTGGCCTCAAGGATAGTTGCATCACCTGAGCTGAACCAATCAGAGTCTTCCACGGTACTTTATATGCAGATGCTACCTTCTTCTAGAACTTCCTTTCTTCTAGAATGGCTACACAGGTTGATAAAAGTCTGTGGTCATGCTTTCTATCATATTTTTTCCCTTCCTTACTCTTTGCATCCCACCTCTCTCTCTCTCTCTCTCTCTCTCTCTCTCTCGTGCACGAGCGCGCGCGCACACACACACACACAGACATACACACCCTCCAAAATTCACCTTATAAGGGACACTTGCCTGCCAGGTAGAATGAAGTCAACATAAAGAATAGTTGAGAGAGAGAGAACAGCCACCGCCTATCACACTCTACCTTAAGACATTCGGCGGAGGAGTGGGCAGGAGCCAAACTCCAGCCTGCATTCTGCTTGCCTTGGCAAGGGGCTACCCTCAGCCAGAGGAAGGAATCCCCCATTTTCTTCCAAACAAAGACTCTGCCTGCTTACTAAGCCTTTTTCTAATGCACATAGAAGAGTTGCCTATGCTAGAGAGATGTGATGAGATTGGTGAAGCCTTTAAATTCACCCCCCCAACCTCCCCACCCCAATCCTTCCTAGCTACAGCCACCAACACATTCCTTTTTCACCCATCCTTGCTTCAGCTGGGTTTTTGTCACTTGTAACCAAAGAAGTCCAGGCCAAGACAGCAGAACAGACACCCGGATTGCTTTGGATGAAGCCACCTGTTCGTTTCAGCTGTAAACTTCCTATTAGCCATTGTCTTTGGAATCTTCTTTTCAATCTCCAAGTCCTTACACTTCCCTAATCAGAATAACAAATACCCCTCCTTTTCTTTCTTAGAGACTCAGGGAGCTTCAATACAAAGATAATACACCGAAGAAATCAAGTTCAACCTAATAATGCTGCCATTGCTTTCTTCGCGAACATGGTTCGTTACGGTCCCTTTCCCAGCGTTTTTGGTCTCCCCCTCTGTCAACCCCAGCAGCAGAGTGTGCTGTCCAAACACTGGCTGCTCCTGTCTGATCTGAAAAAGGGTCATTGCTCATTTTCCCGCACAAAGGCTGGTGTATTTTGTGGTGTTTTGCTTGTCAGGGATGGATCACTCACCCTCTTTGGTATTTGTCCAATTCATGGAGAACCGTGTGGTCACAGTACTCAAACACCAGGTGAAGCCTCCGCTTCCTCCGGAAGACTTCAATCAGGTTGACAAGGTTGGGGTGCTTGAGTTGCTGAAAACATAAAAAGCAAGGTGCTAAATGTGACTTGTGAAAGACAGCTTTCTCTAGTTTTGATCCAATAAAAGGAAAGTGGTTTGTCCTTTAAGAACTGCGCTGTCTTGGTTGAAGTAGGCTGTAAACAGTATTACCTTACTTGTCTTTGTGAGCTGTTTGTTAACAACTTGTAAGTGAAAAGCAATTATAACCCAGATGGTGAAGGCAGAGAGAGATATGAGAAGGCTGGAAAAGAAAGGAGAATGAAGAGCAGGGAAAGATTTTTAGTTAATACAAACTCATCCTTTAAGGCTCAGATGAAATGTCCCCTCCTAGGGAGGTCTCCCCTGATCTCCCCAGACTGGTTCAATGCCCCCGTAAGGCTGATAGCTCCGCTGCAGTGTGTGTCCTTCAGCATCTTTTGTATTTACTATGTAATTACAAAGTAAGGATTACTCAGTTGATTGTTCAGCGTCCTCTGCTGTCGACAGGTATAATAGATACAATCAATAGAATGTAAGAACCGTGATATCCGGGCTTGCATTCTCGTTTACTTAAAATGATGTTGTTGAATCCCTAGCATGGCGCCTCACACGTAATAGGCACTCAGTAATTATTTGTGAATAAAAAAAGTACATCACATTTCCTAGGTTGATGAAACATCTTAACACAGGAAAATGAGGAAGATTCTTCAATCTGATACACCTGAAGGTGTGTATCTAGAACACAGACCAGGGCAGAGGAAGGAAGATGGCAAGAAAGGCCCTGTTCAGAGATATTTTGTTATTAGAGTTATGGTGATGGACTGGAGGGGAAGGCGGAGGGGAGGGAGGCATCAGGAATGACCAAAGGCGCCCCGCCCAGGCGCGGGGAAACTCTGAGGGACTGCAGGGACACAATTGCTAAGACTTTAATCAGGGGTGCTTTTGAATGACGTGCAGTTGGCTTATGCAATAGCAGTGGCACATGAGTAATATGGGGCAATGGTAATTAAGGGGATTATTGAATGAGCTGGCTTTTGTTAACACATTTAGGTCATTGAGAAAAGAAAAGAGAAAATGATAGATAGGTTTCAGTTAGCTGCCCATCAACTGTGGGAGTCAGAAGGCCACTGTGGCATTATTTAAAGAGACATTTCCTGTAGACACAGGATAGACTGTGCTAAAATCAGACTCAGAACTTAATTTTTAAGAGTAGTAGAGATACCTCTGGCCGGTGTGGCTCAGTTGTTTGGAGTGTCATCCTGCAAGTCAAAGGGCTGCAGGTTCAATTCCCATTCAGGGCACATGCCTGGTCAGGACGCATACGGAAGGCAACTGATCAATGTTTACCACATTAATGTCTCTCTCCCTCTCTCTCCCTTCCTTCTTCTCTTTCTAAAATCAATGAGCATATCCTTGAGTGAGGATTAAAAAAAAAAAAAAGGAGCAGAGATACAAAAGAGACAGTGTAGAGCTTCAACAGGTCCCTTCTGTCAAAGTCAGGGCTCTGATGAGAAATGCGAGGGACCCAGAGGCCTGGGATAGGGACATTTAGAGGGATGAGGCTGAGAATCTTAACCCTTAAATTTCTCTGAACCCTCTGGGCTGGGAGAAGTAGCCTCTGCCCCTTTGCCAAAGGTGAAATGCTTCCTCTCACACGGAGACCTGAAAATCACTCAATGGGGCAGAGGCCTCCTGACTCGATCCAGCCTCCTCCCAGCCCACAGCCCTGACCTAGCACGAGGCTGTAACTGCCTGAGCATGGCATACAGCTCTTGCTCCAGGAGGAGAGAAGTATCCTCAAAGAATTATAAGACCTGGCTCATACATACCAGCAGGGACTTTGGGGGTGTTGGGCCATGGCAGGGGAGAAATATAAGGCTGGACAGGGTGAAATTCATTGGCATGGCAGCACTGTCCTGTGACTTGGGACTTAATTCCGACAAGGACACCTGTTAAGTCCCTAACAGAGACTGAGCCCCCCTTACCTTGGGACATCATGTGATTCTGTGACCCAGAGCTGCTCCTGTGGATTGGGTCATAAAGACAGACTGTCATTAGGCTGCCAGGGTGCACCAGCAATCCACCAAACTACGAAAACTATACATTTGTGGTCAGGCTCAAGAAGGTCTGGGGGCGACAAGCAAGTTACAAAAAGAGGTGGCCTGTTCTCCCATGTCATCTACTCTGTTGCACTGTCATCCCTCCTCCATACATCCCTGTATGGTTCCATGAGAGTTTCCTATAATGGGGGAGAAAAACCCCAAGTCCAGCTCACAGACGGATCAGCTCATTATGTTGGCACTAGTTGCAGTTGGTCTGCAACCATACCATAGCCCACTTGGCAGAGGCCTTGAAGGACAACGATGAAAGGGAAAGCTCCCACTGAGCAGAGCTCCAAGCAGTGCTCTTGATGGTCCACTTCGTGTGAAGAAGAAAGGACCTGGGATAAGCATGGACCTATGGGTAGTGGCAAAATAGTTTGTCTTGTTGATTTAAGTCTGGAAGGAGCAAGGTTGAAAGAACATTCGGAGAAGAAACATAACACATCCTTGTGGGAGTGGGCACAGAGCTTGAGGACTTAATTCCGACCAATGCCCACCTCCTACGAATGCCCACCAGAGAACAGCTACTGCAGAGGAAGCACTGAGCAACCAGACAGAGGATGTCTTTTCTGGTGGGTGTCAGCCTGCTCTGTCCTTGGCCACCCTGGTGCTCGTGTAATTGATCCATGAACAGGATGGCCATGGTTGCAGGGATAGGGGGAGGCATGGCCCAGCAACACCAGTTCCCTCCCTCCAAGGCTGATCTGGCTACTGCTGTTGCTGAGTACCTAACCTGCCAGTAGCAAAATATGATACTTAGGTACTGACAGGCCGTGTGCTTTAAGGAGACCAGCTGCTACACGGAGGGGGTTGCGATTTGTCCTTACTGGGACTGATACTTACTTGAGATATGGGGTTTGCCTTTCCTGCCAGCCCCACAATCAAGGGCTTTCCTGCCAGCCCCATTCTCAAGGGAGAATGTCTGCTTTAGCAGTATGGGAGTCCACACGACATCAGACCAAGAGGCCCATTTTACAGCAAAGGAGGCGTGACGATTAGCACATGGCTATGGAATCCATCGGTTCTACGATAAACCTCATCATCACCTACAGCCAGCCAGCCTGGTGGAATGATGGAATCTGTACGCAAGCCCTTTGAGGACACATGCATTGAACTAGCAGCCACAATGCGGTGTTGAGTCTTTATTTCAGTAGCTAATCTGTGGGGCTGGGAACCAGGAGCGGAAGTAGGACTGGACTCTCTCAACATCCCTCCCAACGGTCCACTTACAGGAATCATGCTTCCTATCCCCAATATTCTCTCAAATTTCCAGGGCTCCATTTGTACATTATTAGCCATTGGAAAAACCCAAATGTTCGTTAGTAGGTGAGTAGTTAAATAAACTACAGGACGTTATAGTCCATTCAAATGATAAAGTAGTATGCGGCTGTTAAAAAGAAGGCATCCTTGACTGATGTGGGTCAGTGGGCTGGGCATTGTCCCACAAAGCAACAGGTCACCTGGTTTGACTCCCGGTCAGGGAACATGCCTGGTTGTGGGTTCAGTTTCCAGTCAGGGCGTGTGCAAGAGGCAACCAATAGATGTTTCTCTCCCTCCTTCTTTCCCTCCCTTCCCCAGTTTCTAAAAATAAAGAAACAAAATCTTAAAAAAAAAAAAGAAAGAAAAAGAAAAGCAGGCATATCTATATGTGCTGACTTGGAAAGAAGTTCAAGGTATGATGTTAAATGTAAAAAAGGAAATTACAGAATAGTATATTCAATATGGTAGCATTTGTATCTGTTTTTAAGAAGGAAATTTATGTCCTTGTACAACACAGAAGTCTTCTGGAATGATGTACGAGAGACAGCGGGGGGATGGGAAAGGAGAGTGAAGGCCAATGTAGGTTTCCTTTTTCACTTTACATTTCTCTGCACATTCAGTCTTCTTCTTACATAAGCATGTAGTACTTTCTCATACAAATATCTTTTAAGTGATTGCATAGGTCTCTTCACTGTATTGTCTAACCAAGATAGATATTTTAAAGTCAGTTTCAGAGAGTTAATACATCAGCTGTGGGGAAGGAAAAGCTATTTTCATTATTTAAAAGCTATTTAATTATTACCACCATCTCCAGCCTAGAGGGAAATATTCCACACTCATTATGGAGTTGCTGAGGAATCATCCTTTAACACTCTCTTTTGGGAAAGGAAAGGTGCTTAATCCCACATTTCCTCCAAATGCCAAGAACCCTCATGGTAAACACCCTGGCTAATGTTTTGTTCCAGGGAGGACGAGAGAAGGAAAGGGAGGGACATATGGAGTGGAGGAGTAACGAAAAAGCTGGAACCAGGGGTGGAAGGTGGAGGAGGGCCTGGTGCTTATTTATTTTGGGTTTACTGTAGATGGGATAGGATGTTCCCGGGGGTCCTCTGGCCAGAGCCGTGGGCTGTGATCTCTTCTGGATCCCCTCCTGGACCCAGCACTGGCTAAGAATGTGCACAGTGGATGCTCAGTCCACTTTACTGTGATTTATCAAGTGTATGAAAAGCACCGGGAAAGAAGCAATAGTACAAATGTGATCAAAATGAAAATTAACAATGACACAGCCAAAAATGAACGCAGCAATGTACTGATCATTATAAAACACATAGCTTGGTTTTTTACGTATGATTGATACCATCCATTGATTTAGAAACCCACCTTTCGTTAGTCTAACAAAAAAAGGAATGGAGTTCAAAGATTTTCAACCAGGCAATTGCATCCAACAGTATTTTTACAGTGCTTCTAAAGTTAATAAGTAATAAAGAAGGTTAATAATTAGCAAGAAAATATGCCCGTTGAAAGCAAATTTGTGGCCTAAAACATCAATCCTGCCAAATAAAAAGGTAAATGAAAACATTAAAAAAATTTAAAGTGAAAGACATGAGCCTGGTCCATTTAAAAAAAATTCCATTTCATATAAAAAGTACTACCTTCTGCCCTGGCTGGTAGC